AGTCATTGTCTCCAGGCAATAGGTCGATTTCAAGAGCTCATACTGTGGGACTAAACTCACACCGGCTAATTTCCTGAGCATTCAGTGTCAACTACCTGTCACATTGGTTTGAAATAAGTGCATTCACATTTACTGCCGCATCTCTAAAACACTGGCTCCGTCTGCACTGCAAACTCCAGCTCTGCATGCTTTTTTGTTTTGATCGTTTGATGGAATGCGGTCAGATTTAGCCAATGCATTTCCAATGGAAAGTGCTTTACCATATATTTTAATACATTTAAATGCATTACTGCATTAAATGCATGTCCACCAAAGGTAAGTAGCTATTGCATTTTGCATTGCAACTTTTTTGCATGAAGAAGCTATTTTCTTTTTTGATTAGGCATTAAAAACATGGCAACACTTTACAATAAGGTTCCATTTGTTAACATTAGTTAACATGAACTAACAATAAAAAACTTTTTATTGATCTTTTTTTTAATAATTTGTAAGTTTCAACGTGTATTAAAATAAAAATGGTGCACAAATCTATTGCTTTGCATTGCTAGTTAATGCATTAACTAATGTTATCTAATGGGATTGTAAAGTGTCACCAACTATTACACCAAATATTCAATAAAAATGATTGCGGTAGAAATAAATACAAAATACGCATACTTCATACGTGGATCGAAAAGTACATCAGAAAAAGCTTGTTTAACTCGGATTAAAATATTTATTTTCCCAATAGTGAACATAAATATATCTTTATATACTTCTCCAAAATATGTGTTTTACTTTATTATAAATAAAGTTTAGTATTGGGAAAAATAAAGTGTCTGGGCATCAGCGGCATCCGCAGCCCTCTACGACCATGTCCTGGTAGTTTTTTAAGATCACCCGCTCGTATTCGTCCAGATAGAGCAGCGAAACCGCGCTCAGGTCCGTGGGAACGCAGCAGGCCCGGGGAATGTTGCTGTTCACCGAGTTCACCAGTGTCTGTACAATAGCGTGGTTGGTGGAGTTCAGGTGGTCCGCCAGTGGAAACGGACACTCGCCCTGGCAGTAAAAGGCATGGTAGCCCGGTGGGGCGACTATCCAGTCATTCCACCCCACATCGCTGAAGTCCACATAGAGGGAATGTCTCCTGCAGTTAGCTTTGTGCTTCTTCCGCTGTTTGTTTGTCCGCACTTGCCTCTTCTCGCGAGAGTGCAGCATGTTTCCCTTCCCGTTGTGGCTATAGGTCACCAACAGCGGCCTCATTTGGGGCCACGTGTCCTCTCTGTCATGCAGGGACCTGCTGATGCGGACGTGTCTTTTGGAGTCCTGTTCTACACGGTCCGGGTGAACTATTTCCACCACGAAGCCATGGTTGGGATGCCCATCCGCAGTCCACCTCATGACGGCGGGGCTCACGTCGAAACTCTCCCACTTGCTCAAGCTGTGTTGAACCAGCCTGGTGTCCAGGAGTCTCGTGATGGGTTCTTGAAAGGAACCGGACGGTTTGATGATCTCGAGAATGTTAATGCGGTGAAATCCCTCGCTGCCGTTGCTCACGACCTGCTCTCGGAAAATCCGCAGCTCCGCTGACGTCACCAACTCCTCGCCCGGGATGGAGGTCAGGTTGAAGAGGAAACGCTGAGTCGACTTTCCGCTCGAACTGGACAGGTCCTCCATGGATTCTGGAGGAAAACCAATCTTAACGTTTATGGGAAGTTTTGACTGTTTGAATCAATGCCAGTTCCTTGTACTCTGTCAAACTTCTTGTTTACACTCATTGACAGGATGTGACCTTTACTGACCTCTTACTGGACACACTGGTTTAAAACACTTAAAAAGTGATTACTTATCACGGTTAACACAACATGATTACTTAAGAGGTGGTAAACTAACACAAAGGGCATTTCTAGTTCATTGCATGTCATTCATTTATCATTTACATAAAACTTTTTTTTTAATTACTTGCAACTCAACAATGGAAACATCTCTCTTGAATTATATGCACAGTAGTTGTAGTAGTAGTAATACTAAAATCAATTGCTGTAACATTAAAATTAATAATTAAAATAAAAAAATATATTTTATTTACTCAGTACGAATGCATACAGTAGGTATAGTGAGATGAGAGAAAAAAGTATAGACAAAAACTACAATGAAGAAAAAAAATGCACCTGTAGCTGCACCATAAGTAGCGAGCTAAATATATATATATATTTAGTAACTTACATATATAAACATTGCCATTTGGGAAACTTTTGGGACTACAGACTACAGAAAATGAGCTCTGAACATCAGACTTTGTATAAATAAACTGGCATTTCCTCATCAAACAGTCTGTAGATAATCGCAATTCCTGTCAGGCACGCAGGATACAGCAGATAAGAAAGGAAAGCTGGAATTTCGAGAAAGCGGAGAGCGAGAATTCTTGAAGTAAACACTTGCTTACCATCATGGTGGAAGCTCCTGATCGTATTCGCGCGGCTGGCAGATCTTTCCGAGCCTTTCCCTAAGGAGCCCTTGGGTCTGTTGCTGTTGTTCTGCTCCGCGTTCACCGAGTGCATCGAGTACAAGTCCATCATGTATTGCGGAACCACCGCAGACCTGCTGGGACTCGGTCTGTGTTTGAGTCCAAACATGCTCAGAAGTCGAAGTTCAAACGCGTGTAAGACGTCCTGAGACAGAGAGGACCGGCCGATCTGGGGAACGAGTCCACTGGAGCCTCCAAAGCACACCTGAGTGACCATCAGAACCATCAGAGCGCAGCCGGAGGAGACCATGATCGCGCTAAACCTGCCAGATCAGTGACTAACGAGATCAGATGGGCTCAAGCCAGGCGATGTGACCATATTCCGTGTTTGATCGAGCCATTGTGAGAGTTTGGAGGATCCTTCGTGCATCAGAGCCACCTTTAGAGCCGCTTTACGGAGGAACGCAGACCTGCGCTAGATCCATCTGGATAGGAGAAGCTCCATGAGCCAAAGCCTGTCATAATAGTAGATTTGCGCTCTTAAAATAACACAACGCGTGAAAGTCGTACTACTAAACGGAAAAACTCGCGGACACTCGACCTTAAACGCGAGTAAAGAGACTAAATCGAGTGCATTCGCGATCTTCCCCGTAGGTGTACAAGTGCTTCAGATAAAGTCCAGTTTGAACTCCAAAGCGCAGCTGGTCTTCTGTTCATGGCACACGAGATGATCAACGCAGTCTGGTGGGGTCTTCACTTAAATCTGCTCCTCTTTTAGAATTCCCCGTTTCACTCAGCTCCATGTTACAGATCACTAAAGAAAAGCTGATTATCTGCAGAAAACAGTGGGAGACTTCCACAGGAACGCCCGCCTCTTCTTACACATATTCTACCGTCACCGCTGTGCAAAGACAAGCCGTAGGTGTTGAAACGGAGGGAAGTACGCGTATACAAGTCCACTTCATTGACAAAACAAAAGTTTCTTCCTTTGCAAGTCGCGGCGAGGGTTTGGGTACGTGTGTGTCCTTTACGCGCAGTGCGCAAGTGTGCAACAGCGTCGCTTTCTCTCTCTCCTCGTGTGTCTTTATGTTCAACTCATTCTGTCATGACAGAATTCATCAGCTCTGGACGTGAAGGGGTTCATGTGGACAAACGCGCCTTTGGAGAGTTCAGAGTTCATCTAATTAAGTAACGGAGAAAATATGGGAAGTGTCTGCTATATACGATTGCTTTATTACATTTTAATAAAACATACTTGGTCATTGCATTTACTTCGGAATTGAATTCAATTAATCATTACTCTATCACTAAGAATATATTTAGATCCCAAATGTTTAGAAGTAACTTTAAATGAAAAAGGACGCTCACTACCTAGCGCTCATATTCAGAGCCAGTGCGCCAACTTGTGGCAACAACGGTTGATGTGAAGCAGGAGACCGGGGCTAGTTGTCACTTTTTGCTCCCGCCAATGTTTCGTAGGGTGGGGTAAAAGCTCATTTATGTGATGACAAACCTTAAAGTCTATAAAAACGTATATACATGCAACCATAAAATGGGGCAATATGTCACAAAGGGAACCTGCCATTAGAAGAGCCCATTCACTATTTTCCAGGATGGGACAAATATGAAAACGCAAAAATGGAAGTCAACAAATGTGTAAGTGTAAACTTGGTTTGCAAATAGATCATATAAGACTAAAACATGACAACTACACACATATATACACCTATAAATAAATATGTACACACACACACACACACACACGTCAACATTTGAAGTGGCTCAAAAAAAAAAAAGAGTTCAAAGTTGTCTTTGAATGCAAGAATGCATTTTTGGTTTTAGGACAGCTTTGAAAGGTTTTGATCCACCTCAAACGTTGACTACAGTAATTTCGTCACAAAGGGAACCTGCCATTAGAAGAGCCCATTCACTATTTTCCAGGATGGGACAAATATGAAAACGCAAAAATGGAAGTCAACAAATGTGTAAGTGTAAATTTGGTTTGCAAATAGATCATATAAGACTAAAACATGACAACTACACACATATATACACCTATAAATAAATATGTACACACACACACACGTCAACATTTGAAGTGGATCAAAAAAAAAAAAGTTCAAAGTTGTCTTTGAATGCAAGAATGCATTTTTGGTTTTAGGACAGCTTTGAAAGGTTTTGATCCACCTCAAACGTTGACTACAGTAATTTCATATCAAATTCGATATATTATATTACAAATATTTTATTTGTAAATGTATATAGAACTTTTTTTATCTACCTAAATCCCAGCTACAGGGTTTTTTTTTTAATTATTTATTTGCAGTTTTGTGTTCACTTATTTACACAAATATAAAATCCATTTTAGTTTGGAGGGCCAAATTCACCAAAATACTCTAATGTAAGACTAGCCGTATCATTTGTCCTTATATGAAATGCTGCAAACAGTTTCTAACCCAGGTCCAATATATCATTAAAACATTAACATTTCACTGCTCTAAAATATTAAAAACCATTGAAACATTGAGGCAAAAATCAATTTATTATAAAATGAAGTTTATTTTTTAACAAATTACAGGTCATTGTCCATCCACATTTTCCCACCATGTCCTCAATGTCCACAGTATCACTGAACAAGTATAAAGCACCATTTTAATATGTTTAAGATATGGACTTCAGCATTTCAAATGAATTGGAGTTCATCTGCATCCACACTCATCCACCACCATGTCTTCATAATGTCTCAGAACCACATTATCGTTATTGTCGTAATAGAGCATGGAGATGGGGGACAGTTTGATGGGAACGCAGCAGGGCTGAGGCGTCCCTTTAGGATCAAACGAATGGACCAGCGTCTGCAGGATGGCATGGTTGGTCCCATTCAAACTTTCACTCAGAGGGAAAGGACACTCTCCGTGGCAGTAATTGGCCAAATACCCCTGGGGCGCAATGATCCAGTCCTGCCAACCCACGTCTTTGAAGTCAATGTAAAGCCTTCTGGGTTTGCACACGTTACTGGGCGTCACAGGTAAGTAATACGCAGCGCTTCGCTTTCTCCTGGACCTGCATTGAAGCGGATTCAACGACACCACCACCAGAGACGTGTACAACTCTGGCATTTGAGCAATCTGCACAGCTGAATGTGTGCTTTCCACATATGCATCCTCCTGAAGCATGTTGCTCAAGTGCTTGAGCTGCAACTCAACTTGCATCCCGTAGTTCTTACCTGGCTTTCTCCAGGTTTCAGCCAGATCGGTCAGATTGATGTGCACAGAAGCGTGCGCACCAGGCCCGAGCGACTGAGACAGGAGTAATTTACGGCTGGACTCGTGAGTTACTCCCTTCAGCGTGGTCCTCAAAACCCTGTACAGGTCCACGCTGAAAACATGCGGTCCCAGGTGAGCCAGATCCTGTTTGAACTTCATTTCCAGCTGCGCAAAGGAGAGTTGCTCAACATCCTCCAGCACCGACATGTTGAAAAACAGATGCTTTCTCACACAATTAAAGCAGTGGACGGCCGGAGCAGATATCAGACTACCTGTTTGGGGAAAAACAAGCTTTGTGTTATGGTGCAAGTGGGTTATTCCTGTTCTGCAGAACCTTTTGAACTCTGTAACATAAATGTTATCATTTACGGCAAGACACCATAGGTGAACAGGGTAGAATTAATAGATCTTACCATACTTTCCCGGTTGATTACATTAAGAATTTCAAAAGTTTTTAGGCTTTCCAATGAGGCGTCATCTAATTACACATGCACTAATTTGCATAAAATTCCAGAAATTTTTCAGAGGGGATTTTGGATTTTTCTTTAAATAAGAAAATACTGTCAGAAAAAAATCAGCTTTTAGGATTAAAATCAGACGTCTGATATGAACAAACCCTTCAGAATAGAGATAGGAATAAAACTGTAAATGTTGGTCAGTGTAAGTGTTGCAGAACTAAAGAAAACTGCCTTTAAAGATATGCATTGTAATTGAAATCTAAAGACACAAATAGGTCAAGTTCAGTAATAAAATTAGGTGAATGATATAGAAACAAATCCCTCTATAGAAACCCTCTGAATGTGCATGGAAATTAAAACTGTACATTTGTGTTTAAGTGCTGCTGAAGAGAAAAACTCCTCATTTTGAGAAAACGGCCTTTAAAAATATATTGTAATTGAAATCTACAGAGGCAAATAGATGATTAAGATAAACACCTAAATGTGCATTTTGCATGCTTTCTTCCCACTAGTCTGAAATGCGTTATGAAAAGCTAAATAGCCCAAAATCTCAAAACTGACCAGTGCAAAAAATATTTTTGCCTGTAGTGTCTTTCATTAAGGAGTTATTTCAATTAAAGGGTGCCTAATGTTTTTTATAACTCGATTTACAGAAAAATATACTGCCATCAAGTCAGTTGTCTGACCAACAGTAATGATGTCACTTCCTGCAGGATGACGTCATACAGAAACTGGCTTTTGTTTGTTAGGCATTTCACAAAATACTAACCCGAATAGAACTAATTACAATTATTCAACAAAAACATGTTTTTGAAACACTCATTCGATTAAGGAAAAATTAAATACAAATGGCATTACTAAAATTGTATTCAAATTTCCTAAAAACTACGAGGACATGATATACTGCATATTAAGATTGACCTAAATTCTCAAGGCCTCACCTTGATCCTGGATGAACCTGACAATATTTCCCCGGACTCCATACTCGGACACCACACATGGATCGGTGTCAGACGTCGAGGTCTGTGTGCTGCCCTTCTCAAACAGTTTCCACAGCAGAGACGGCACTGGAGCCTGATGTGAAGGTTTTGGGCGACTCGAGAGACCCATCGAACTTAAAAACAGCTTTTCTTGCACGTTGACGTTTTCTGTGTCTATAAAAGTAAGAGAAGACAGACTTGACATTAAAAACAAGAGATTGGGAATCACACAGAGCATCATTAATGTGAGCAGCACGGTCAAACAGACCTTCCGGCACGGACAGGGCCTTTTAAACAGCCGCTGATCAGCTTCAGATGATCAGCCAGACGAGTGAGGACTGACACCTGTGAGGTGATTGGTGGAGATAACGATCCACTGATGGACTGTGGGGGTCAAATCATTGATATGCAAATGAGTGGCAATGGGCCTTTGATGTTTATAGGGGCTCACTCAGACTGATATGCTGTCACAAAATGCTACATTTTGCCATAGATTTTTTTTTTTAATTCTTAATGATTTTAACATTTGTTTTTATTTATCTTAATTCAAAAACAAGAATAAAGCACAAATAAGCACCAAAACCTATGGTATAGGTATTTTTAAGGTGATCAGATTGTGTTGTATTTGACATTTAAACATAGCTACACATAACAATAAAAAAAAAAAAAACACTGAAACATTTTGTGTAGAAACAGTTTTCACTTAGACATTTCTAGTAAATTTCATGGAAATGGCAAGTAGCATTAAATGTGAAATGTTGAATTAGAAAATCTGAAATGGAATTTTCTTGTAAAACTGAGTCCTATAATTTATGTTTAATTTACAACTTTCAAAAAAAGATTTTTTTACAGTATAAAATGATTTAAAAAATTGAGAATGTTTTTTTTTGTGGATGTACCATGAAAAAACATGGTAGTACACTTTTAAAAATAAAGGTGCTACAAAAGGTTCTTCACAGCGATGCCATAGAAGAACCATTTTTGGTTCCACAAAGAAGCATTCAGTCAAAGGTTCTTTAAAGAAGCATCTCTTTCTTACCTTTTTATAATCTGAAGAACCTTCTTTCGCCACAAAGAAGCTTTTGTGAAACAGAAAGGTTCTTCAGATGTTAAAGGTTCTTTATGGAACCATTTAGACGAAAAGGTTCTTCTATGGCATCGTGAAGCACCTTTATTTTTAAGAGTGTACCTTGGAGTAACATGTAAATACTATGGTACATAAATGTGAGAATGTAATATTTTCATGGTATACATTAAAAAACTGCCCTTAATAGCAGAACAAATACATGTGATATTCATATGAAAAAGAAAAACATAAATAAGAGAAAGAAAGAGACTAAACATATTTTACTGCGTACTCATTAATGAGTTATTGTGCTTAAATGTAGGAATTCTAAGTTGAATTTAATAATCAACTCCTAAAATCCCCAACCTAAAAAAAGGACAAAAATGAGTCAATAGTTGTCATACACTAAGAGTATAGAGCTGTAAAATGAATGTGTAGCAACTCAGATCATTTGAGCTTGGAAGAATCTGATGTGAAGAAATGTTTGTGTTTTTATAGAGATCTCTGCTTTTGATTGCAGACCTTGGTATCAATTCTGAGCACAATATGAGACATCACTACTAAAATACTAGAGGAAATATTAAAGATCTCTGTCTTTTCCATGTAAGATTAAACAGACAAGTTCTTCTACTCTGATTAACCTCTGAATGTTTTGGTGGGGGTTTTGTGATGCTGGATTTATGATCATTTTCACACTGATCGGACGGCAGCACTGACTCTGTCGTGTGCCGAATCCTTCCTGGGCATCAGAGCGTCCATGCTCTTCATCAGACACATTCCTCCAGTCAAGTAAAGACTCTGACGAGACACAGTGGATTGATGCATCAGGCCGTTACTGATAACAGGTCCCTGGCTGACCTCTGGGGCGGCATTCCATCTGCTGAACTCCACTGAGTGACAAATGGAGAGAAGAAGCTGTAAACAGACCCTGGAGAACAGAGTTTTGGAGTCAACAGTATCCAAATAAATAAATAAAATAAAATAATAAATAAATTAGTAAATAATAAGTAAAAAAGCAATAACAACAACAACAATAATAATACAAAAATAGAAAAAATTTAAGTAAAATATAAATAAATTGTATAAATGTATATGGGAATAAAACGACATGTTCTGTAAGCTGACAATATATAAATGTATTTTACACATTAAATGTTTTCTATGATATTATAAAGACTACTACTACTACTAATAAATACTATTATTAATATATAAAAATATATAAATTATATGAAATAAATTAAACGTCATAACAAATAAATTACAAAAAATAAAATAAAAAAAGTTTCAAAAAACAAAGATGATGATTATGCAAAATAATAATAAAAAAGAAACCATATATTTAAAATAAACTAATATATATATATATATACACACACACACACACACACACACACACAAATAAACCAATAATAATAATTATAGAAATATATAGTAAATAAAATGACAAGATTTGTAAACTGACAGTACATATTTACATAAATATGTATACTAAAATATAGAAATTATATAAAATACATTTATATAATAATAATAATAATAATGTAAGGTTGCTGCTTACCTTTTGGAAAACGTCTGCACGCCTGATCTCAAAATCTACGAACAAAAGACAAAAAAGCTGCAATTGTTAAAAACACATATATGCTAAATACATGACATGCAAAATGCTAATGCTGGAGAAACAGTTACTGGAGCGGTGTGAGGTTACAGCGCGAGCATTGTCACTGGAAACACAATATTCTGTGTGGTCTAGTCAGGATATGAAATACGGCCGTTTGAATAACATGACATTGTGTTCACCCCGTCATTCATCACAAACACACGTTGTGCTCTGAGCTTTCCCTCCTGATCTTCAGTTTCACACACACACACACACACACACACAGGACGCAGAGAAGCTGTGCTCCATTATTAGTGATGTAAGCTTACAACCGTCATGATGTTTTTCAAACCTCACGTTTCACTTGATATGAAAATATATTCTGTGTAATGGGGAATTTGACCGAATGAAGCCACAAAAAGCTCGTCTTTCATTGTTTACCTTCCCCTTCAAATTATGACTGTCACCCACCTCTCCCTAGAGGTCAAGTATGAGTTATATCTCATAATATCTGTAAATAATATCTTTTTGTGCCTCTGTATATATACTGTATGGTCATTAAAATATTTCTATAGTGTTTGTTGATATTTGAAATTAGATTTTATTTTTAGATTTCCTCTTTTCATTTTAATTTTAGATGAAATAGTACTAATTTTGGGATGTCGTTTTTATTAGTTTCTTTTTATATGTCCATAGTTTTTAATTAGTTTGAGTTATTTTAGGACTTTAAATTAAAGTAAATGAAAACCTTGGCAACTAGCTATATTAATAAAATGATCAAACACTGGTTTAATTGCAGATTATTATTATTATTATTATTATTTCAGTTAACGTTTGTTCTTGTTTTGTTCAAGTAACATTTTTTAGGTAACAATGATAACTCTGATATTTGACTATATATTAGTTTATAGTATAAATATTATTCAATATATACATATACATAAATGTCATATCTTGCAATACCCAAAGATTTCAAATTAGTCTTTAAAATGTGGCTCGGAGTTCAAACTTAGAACGATTATAATAATTGATGTTATGAATTAACTACAGGTTTACTGCATACTATTGTTGACTTGATATTGGTTATGTTTAAAAGGAACACCGCAAACTGTACAGTATATACTGTATCCTGCCTGCTATTTTCTAAAAATCATTTGATAAACAATACACAATATGCAAAGATGAAACGTTCAAAATGTAGCATGTTCCATCGATCTCATAATTGTATTATGTACATGTTGTGTATAATCTCTGAAATAAATATTACTTTGCACTTTTGAACCAGTTGTGTGTAAAAGTCACTTTTGACCAATAAAATAATAAGAAAAACAGAAAGTGCATACTGCATTCACTATTTTGCCAGTATCCATTTTTTCTCCCTGCACGATCCTTCCAGTTCATCCAGTTCATCCACAATTTTAATATCTCTTTCCTGACTTATGACTTACTATATTGCCATAATGTTACACAAAATATGATTACTGGATTACTACTTACTTGCAAAAACAGTAGTTAGTATGGCATTCGGAACATACCCAGTGTCTTCAATCAGATATTAGTGTGTATCTCTATTACTAACCACCATATGAGAACCAGACCTGCAATGAAAGTAAATAAAGACATAAGCTCAGTAAAATTACAGCATAAATAAGTATTGGTCATGCAAGTATATATCTGAGTGCTACAACACTGCAGTATTTGATGCAACACGACACGCAGGAGTTAACCGCATAAACGCTGCTGTAGTTTAACGCTGAGGCTGGAGAAACTCGAGCTGAAGAGAACCTCCCGAATCAATACGGAGGAGCTTCACTGCGTGATCTTTGGTTTGGATGTTTCTGAATGCTTTTATGGTTTACATAGATGACTCTTCGTCAGACTTTGCCCCACATGCTCGGGGAATATTCATCTTCACCGTGTCTGTCTCCTTCATGAGCACTTCACATAATTACAGACTGAAGCTCTTCTAGACGTTACATCAATGCCACAAACAATCATCTCGTGTCTGGCCCCTCGCTGGGTCATCTGTGAGGTGGATGAAGAAGATAACAACCTTTATCACTGCTGAACACATCAGTTACACAGACCATGATGTAGCGTTTAGCTGACCGGTGGAAGACGGCAATGGGCGGTTGCTGGAAAGACCCGAAATCATTCCTAATCATTCCCAGTGTTTTGATGTGATGAAGCTACACATTTGGCATGTGTTGCAATTATCTTGAGAGGCAAAGAGGTCGACTTACTGATTAGTTCCTGAGAGATTTTACAACACATTGTGATCCGCAAGCACAGCATTTCCTGTGGAAACAATCATTAGGATGAAAATAAATACCTTCTACCCATGTGTTTTGCAATCAATTAATATTTGGGTCTCGCTTTAAAACATGAACTCTTACATTTATGGACAAACAGCAGCTGTGGTTGCCAGAAATATGGTGACAATGGTTCAGGTATTATGGAAATGCATATTGGTACTTGGATATTTTATAACTTATACACAACAAAACACAAGACTCTAAAACAAGGCTATAAATATGAACTAAATAACTTAATATATATCACAAAACACAAATGTACATTACCGATAACAAAAATAAG